AAGCTACTAATGAATAATTACTACCGCAGTGCACTGATCAAAAGACCCGGTCTAATACAAGAACCTTACAAAATACCCGGGTATATTATATAGTAGTGGGCCAATGTCGCAAGAAAAAAAAATTTCAAGCACACACATATTCCTCATTTACTATAAGCAATGTTTTGCTGCATAGGAGTATTGAAAAGGAGTCTTATGATTACTATTTAATTTTATTTACATTAAATGAATGGTTATTAATCGATGTAGCTATTACAGCTCATAAATATTTACAATTACAAAATAAAAGAAGTTTATTAATTTTTGTTTGATAGTTACTGAGATATCTTCGTTCAAAGCTATGAAAACTTTAATATTATTTTAGCATTAGTAGGCATTTTGAATAAATTTTTAAAAACATTACTAGACATTAAATAAAATAAATATAAAAAAAAATTAAAATTAATCTAAAAATTTTAAAAAAAAACTCAAAAACGCCTATGAAAAAATAGCAGCGGCAAAATTTTTTCAAAACATTAAGCAAAGGTATCTTGGCAACCACACAACCAAATTTCATAATTTTATTTTTACTTTGATTTTACAATATGTAGAATTAAAATAAAAAAAAATTTATAGAATTTAGTTGAGCGGTTGCTGAGATATCTTCGCTCAAAGTTTTGAAAAAATTTTGCCACAGCTATCATTTTAATAGACGTTTTGAATTTTTTAAAATTTTGAACGAAGTTATCTCGGCAATTACCCAACATAATTTGGTGAATATTTTTGTATTTTAATTCTACATAACTAAAGAACCAAAATAAAAAAAAGTTTACCAAATTTTGTTGGGTAATTGCCGAGATAACTTCGTTCAAAATTTTAAAAAATTCAAAACGTCTATTAAAATGATAGCTGTGGCAAAATTTTTTCAAAACTTTGAGCGAAGATATCTTAGCAACCACTCAACTAAATTCTATAATTTTTTTTTTATTTTAATTCTATATATCTGTAGAATCAAAAGAAAAAAAAATTCATTATATTTGATTAGATGGTTACTGTAATATTATCATTAAAAGTTATAAAAAAATGTAATTATTAATATATCTTTTCAATAAATAATCACATTGTGATTATTGATCTACGGGATTGGTCACGTGGGTAGTACTTGATCGCTAAAAGTTTCACAAAAAAATCCGCCCATATCGATATGTTGAGTGATTTGAGGAGAAATTATTAACTCCGGCCTATTTCGACCCTAAATTTTGGTCGATCTGCTGAATTTTGATTGCTCCACTAATCTATCCTCAATTTTACGTGATCGAAATTTATAATCATATGATACGGGCATGCTCTATTGTAGACTATAATTATTAAAGAATGATTTGAACATTTTAGATGAAAAGAATGGATTGTATTATTCAAAGATTACAATTTTTGAGTATATTTATGACAAAGTTACATTAAACTATTTTAATCTGCATTTAATTGAAAAAGGAAAAATTGTTAGCAATCAAATTTTAACTCTAAAATGTAAAATATTTTTTATAAACATGTTTTAAATTATGCTAAAATAAATGAACAAAGTAAAGCGATTCGCACTAGACATCTAAAAAAATGAAAGCAATTCTTTACTATTGAAATATATATAAAGTGATAAATAATCCGATCACTAAATTCAAAAAAAAATCTTAATATCTAACTTTTATATCGTACTACATATAATTTGATTTACATAGTTGACTGCACACCCTGACCGTACGTGTATAAGCGGGACGAAATTTCCTTTAATACCTAACAATTCAAGATATGAAAATACGAGGCCACAAGTAACTGATATTCCATGAAATCAATTACAACACATTCTTTATTCATCACACATAATATGAATTCGCTTGCAAGTTTTTTGCAATCTCAGGTTCCCATTTGTCACCATTGGCAAGAAGTTTCTCTTTGTTGTATAATAATTCCTCACGCGTTTCTGTTGAATACTCAAAATTAGGCCCTTCAACGATTGCATCAACTGGGCAAGCCTCCTATAAAATGTAGGATTTAGATTAATAAATAATTTTAATTTTCGTGAGTACAAATTAATTAGTACCTGACAAAGTCCACAGTAACTTGTTAATCCGATTTTTATGACATTAGTAATGTGATTATTGAGGAATGTTGATCTATGAACAAATTAAAATGAAATAAACTCACATGCATTTTGTCATATCAATATCATAACGTGTTGTTCGTCGACTACCATCGTTCCTTACTTCTGCCTCAATTGTAATAGCCAACGCAGGGCAAATGGCCTCGCATAATTTACAAGCTATGCACCTAAATATTCAAAATTGATTAAATTGCAATTCTGGAGAACAAAAAAAATAGAATGGATGAATTTATTTTACCTTTCTTCACCTAAAGATTGTCACCAGATAAATATTATTTTCAAATAAATGCTTTTTAAAGATAAATCAAAAAGCCTACCTGTAGGATATCTTCTTAGAGCATGTTCACCTCTAAACCTAGGGCTCAATGGTCCTTTTTCATAGGGATAAAAAATTGTATAAGGAGGTCTGAAAAACTGCTCTAGTACTACCCACATGCCTCTTAACATTTCAGTAAAAAAGAATAATTGTGCTGTTTTATCAAGATAAGTTGGATGTTTTATTTTTTTGGCTGACTGAACTTTTGATGTTGAATGTGTTGGCATTGGTGGTAGATCATAATTTTTGATTTTTGTACTGGAAAAATTGCGAGAAACTTGAGACACGACTAGGTGAATTTTGAAAGGAATAAAATTAATAGTTTCAAAATAGGGCTAGACAGTTATTCACACTAGTTTTTCAGTTCGAGTAATTAATTACCGGGTATCAAAGAAGGTGTATAAACTCTACGAACAGTATTTTGGGCAATGCCACTAAGCCTGAACATTATTGTCATGACGTGACGAAGTTGATATCGACATCAGATATCGCCTTAATAGTTACAATCTTTGCACGTGTAGTATGTAAATCATATGATTATATGAAGTCGTACGTACGTCTGGTACGTATTATGAAATTGTACGTACGTACGTTAGAAATTTTAAATTATTCATTCGCATAAGACTTGAAAGAACACAATGAGTCTGGATAAATTTCCTATTAATTTTGGCAAAATGGGTAGAAGTATCTCCAACCTTCAGCAGGTATGCGTGTAAACTACAGGGTTTTAAGGGTTGCAAAGTTAAATGTAATCTTTCATCTATATATTTCAATATATATGTAGTTTACACGGGAGAAACTTGGTAATGCAGAAGATATAACGGGTCTTCCGCCAGAGTATCATGATCTTGAAAGAGTAAATAAATTTAACCTTCAAAGTATTTATTTTGGATCGATAGTTATTTCATTCTTGGCTTATTATACCCTTTAATAGCGCGTTGACAACTTGGATAAGGTTCATAGGAAATTACTCCAAGTAACACGTATTTACACGAATACATCTTATGATTATCCGGACCAAATTCGACAATCAGTTGTAGAAATTTCAAACAATCTTTTTGACCATTTAAGAACTATTGCTCAAAGTCCTACTGCTGATACTCATGACACAGAAGAATCTTCAACATCAACTCAACAAAAAAACTTACATCATGCATTGGCACGATCCGCAAAGGACGGAGCACAACTTCTTGATCCTGATGATACCCTTGGGACTGCCTTAGAAAAATACGGAACTGCACAAGAACGTATTGGAGAGTGTCGATATAAAATGGATTCAGAAATTTCGTTAAATTTTTATCAACCTTTTTATGCAACTTTACATACACAAATTCAAGGTGCTATGAAAGCCAGGGCAAATGTCAAGTCTGCACGCTTGTCTCTTGATGCAGCGAAAAATAGGTATAAATCTGTTCGACAAGAAAGAATAGAGGCTGCCAGATTGGAAGTCGAGCAAGCTGAAGATCAGTTCGTTGCTGCCGTTGAAGAGGCTACCACGTTGATGAAGCAAGTAATAGAAACGGTAAAAAATGCACAATTTAAAACATTTGCCATATTTGCTTTGTTTATTTTACATGAACGAATTTTTTTTTTTTTTAGCCCGAACCTCATAGAAATCTTGCACATTTAGTCAATGCACAATTGACTTTTCACCTGGAAGCATGCAAAGCGCTCGAAGAGGTTGTTCAAGATATTGAGGAGATGCAGATAAAGCAGGAGTCTTTGTACAGGTAATGATTTTATAAATTTTAGTTGTTTTTTGATATATTTTAATATTATATTGTATTAACTTTAATCGTCATGCAGACTTAGTCGCAACGACTGAAAAGAAGTGTTAATATCTATTTATTGGCATTAATTATAATAGATAAATGAATCAACGGGTCTTCTTTTTTTTTTTTTTGAACGCAACTTGCTAATTAATGACTTGCAAATATTATAGTATTACATATAGGTTTTTAAATATTAAACATTATCATAAGATATTCGTAATGTGAACAATTTTTGATTGATTTAGTAATTCTTTTGTCTTACCAATTATTTAAATCTGTTATACGTAAATTTGTACATTAACTGCGCTTTAAAAATTAAATGAGCCGTTGATTAATTTTATAATTTATTATGTGAGAAAACATTTGTAATTCAAATAATTTTTTCAGTGTTATTTTGAAAGCTCATAACAAATCATACTAAATTTAAGAAGGATTAGCCCATTTACAAAATCGTAAAAGATTTTCTAAAAATATTACTTACAAAATAGTCCAAGCCCTGACCTATTTCCCAAATAGACAATCCAGTACCATAATCTTCAGCTAATTGAAGACGAGATTCAATAGACTAACAATTATTATACAGTATATGTTTAAAAAGGCAAGATTTGAATACATCAAAGTGCGTTAATCAAACATTATTACCTTCAAGGAAGGATACCATACAATATGAGATATTCCATTCTCTTGATATTGAAAGTAATGTTCACCCAAATTTTCATTCCACTCAATTATAGGTTTATGTTGACGTATTTTTTTAATTATTGTATTACCAGTAATATGTTCAGCACGTCCTTGATAAAAATCCATACCATACATATTCATTCCAAGTAATAATTTATCACGATTCATCATTGTTGGAGTAAAAGACAATATATTATCCTCTACCCAATTAATTGGTGCATTTGGACCTGGACTAATAAATAAATAATGATGTTAAAAATGGAAAGTTAGAAATGGTAGTAAGGAAGGAATGGTAAAATTAGAACGAATTAATGAATTAAGATATACGTTTCGTGAGAAGAATAATCATATGTCATAAGAGAGAAACCATCAACAAATTGACTAAAATCATCAAGTTGGTCAGCCGTAAAGTGAGGTATTGAGGGCTTTCTTGGGGGTAATACTAAAATTAATTCCTGATATTGATCATGTAATTTAGCACCTAATCTCATCACGAAATTTCTTAAAAGTATAACGTAGCTAGCTTCAAGAACCAAGCCATCAAAACCTTGTTTTCTTAATGGGAAATAAGCAAGGATAATTTTAAAAATTTATAAATTTAAAATTTTTTTTTTTTATTCCTATGTACCTGCATTCTAAACTTAAAGTATTTACAAGAGAATCAACCTCATTTAATTCAGCTATTAACATCTGATAATCTATTTGAGTCCAACCTTGAAATTGAAATCTTGGTACCACTTTAACACGACGTTGTCCATCGACTTGACCATTGATTTCTTTAATCCAATCATGATCAACATCGTGACCACCGGTAAGTTCATATTGATTTGTTGACCTAAAAAAAAGTGATACTTTATCAATTATCTTCATAAGTTCAGTAGTATATATGCATGCATGCATAAAGTACCTTCGATGGACGTTATACCAAACAGGACTTATACTAAACATATATTACAACAAAAACAAAAAAATGGGCAAATTTAAACAAAAAAGATATATGTTTAAGGAATTGATGTGTGAATTAGTTATACTTACTAGTCAAATTTACCCTTAAAAATTTTGGCAATGTCATAACCTAGATAAATTTAAAAACGTTAAAGAAATGTCTAATGATTTTATTTACCAAATTTACGTACCATGATTGTTCCAAGGAGTCACATAGGCTAAAGTTGGACCACCTTGAAAACTTCTATTTCCAGCATTTTGAGAGTTATATTTGCTGTGGTTTTCCAAGATGGATTCATACTACATCATAACGCGCCAAATTACTATGCATACATTCTACCAAACTACAGTATATATTATATAATTGATACCTTTATTTGCTCTGACGAAAATGTAGCCAAAATAAGAAAACATTTGATAAAAAACCAAATAAAATTAAAATATAATCTTGCGGTATACATGGATTTTATATTTCGTTTAATGATAAAAACGATAACGATAACGATAACGCTACGTAATAAAATAACAAATCAGGGAGGGACCTGAACTAGATGAACGGGACCTGAGTCTGGTAAAGGCTAACCCTAATTTAAATCGGGCCATCTTTGTCAGCGAAATGGCTGTAGGCGAAATTGATTTATATCCATGTACAGTATAATTCATAGACACTCCATGACCATGGACAAACAAAAATTAATTTCAATGTAATGTCTATCGTTATCGTTATGTCCAACATCAAGTAATTTATTCTGCATCACGATCATGCACGCACGTACGTACGTATCATGAAGATAATTGTAACGATCCCAAATGAGGAATCTAACTGTCTAAAATTTAGGGCCGGAATTCATCGGTGAACGCGTAGTAAATTTAAGACTACACAGTACGTAGTGATAGAGACCTGCAAAAAAACTGTTCAAGAAATCACATGCAAGTTAACAGATACGGATTTTTTTTTTTTTTTTGTTTGATATTAGCCAATCACAGTAAAAATCGCCAAAATTTTTTCAAACCGATACTGTTGAATATGAATCCTTTATGTAATCAAATTGTATTATTTGGTGACTCTATCACCCAGGTATTCAAATTTTCTAAACGATATCGTTTCGAAAGAACTAAAAATGATATTATATTTATCTGGTAGTATGGGCATGACCCCGAAAATAACGGTTGGGTTGCAGCACTTCAGTCTTCTTATGTAAGAAAATTTGACGTTTTAAATAGAGGTTTTTCAGGTACGTACGTTTATTAAAACAAAAATTTTTTAAACAATTATACATATCGAATTATAACATTTATGATCTCTTATTATGTAGGATATAATACTGAATGGGCAAAAATTTTATTGCCTCAATTACTTCCTAAAAATTATTCTCCTTCAAATTTTCCTAAGATCATTTTGTTAACAATCTTTTTTGGTGCAAATGATGCTGCTATAGAATCATCTATTCAGCATGTTAATATTGATAAATACAAAGACAATCTTATTCATCTGGTAAATTTAATTAAAAACCCTGATTCTTCTTATTATAATCCGGAAACAAAAATTCTACTTATTACTCCTCCACCTTTGGATGAAAAATTTTGGGAAGAAACTTGCGTTTCCAAGGGTGAAGAGCTGAATAGAAAAGCTATTATTACTAAAAAATATGCTGAAATTTGTGTTGAAACTGCTTTGGAATTAAATGTTCCTGTTGTAAATTTATGGAAAATTATAAATGATCATGTGACGTTAAAGGATTATTTAACAGATGGTTTACATTTAAATTCTCTTGGAAATAAGGTCTGAATCTATTTCATTTCCTTGAGAATTATATTTTTGATAATTATTTCCATCAACATGTCTGACATTGTTCTTTTATTACCGTTATTGTGGTTTTAGACTTTATATATTGCGGTTATGGATGCTATTAAAAATAATTGGCCAGACCTGGTTCCCGAAAATATTAAGGATATCTTTCCTCTTTGGAGAGACGTTAACGCTAAAGATCCAGTTTCATCTTTGAAACTTGAAGATTTCGTACCTTATCAACTTTAATAAAAAGTTACTCTATGGTAGAGTTTAGAACCGGGTTATAGTAAACCGTGTCACCCGTGTCAAAACGGTTCAACCGAGTCAAAAATTTACAACTCGGGTCAAAATGGTTGAATATGTAACCTCTAACAATCTGTTATTATTACACAGAAAACATAAAATTTAACACATTATAATTGTATTGTGAATAAACACCCTTTTTTCTCTTACTAATTTTCTAAATGTTCAATCCCATTAATCTGGATTTAAAAAAAAACGTTGCAAATCTTGGAGGCTATACGGACTATCTATTATTGCGAAAATTTTGTTAATTTTCCTTTGTATAAACCTCTTTGCTAATATGTAATACTCTTTGTTCGACAATGGCGTGATCGTCGATAACTCATAGAGGGGGATCATCTCATAGGCAGAAGTTTGTCTGATTGGCTAATAAATTCAATTTAATTTTACATTATTTATTCAGTTTAGAGTACTT